TTTTTTTTTTTGGTTGTTTTACTCTATGTTTCATTTTAGATTTATACGTGATTTGTGTTTTACTATCAGCGAGCAGTATTAGTGTCGGGTATATGGAGCTGAGGATCTCTGTTTTTTTTTTTTTTTGAGCTCAAGATCTCAATCATGGAGGTATTATTTTTTTAACTTTTTTTTGTGATCTTACGGTTCGTCTCGCACTAGCGGAAGGTTGAGAAGCTGTGTTAGCGGTGAGCGAGATGAGTGGTAGCAGCTGGATGACACATCTCTATTAGCGATAGAGTGGATTAGATCCATGTGTGATTGATGATTGCTTTGTTTGGGCCACGCTGCACTAGTCTCCACATGCACAAAAGACGAAAAATACGGCAGTGTATGTTTCCCATGTTCTTGCGGAAGATTTATTCTCATTTTGCACATTTGGAGGGTAGTTGAGCGAGGCCCTTTGTCTCTGCTACTTGAGAGCTGGACAGGGTTGTGTGTCCTATGATTAACGTGAGGTCGGTTGGTTAATTGTTTGGTGGTCTGTTGTTTGCATGCATAGTTCGTAGTACTTCATACTTTCTTTGCCCTTGGTTTATATGTGTTCAGTTTGGGCTCCCAGTCGTGTTCCCCGGGGGCTACCGGTAGGTCCCACTTACACGGATTATTAAGCGATATTGACCGTAGATAGCAAAGATCAACGGCCAGAATCTCTTAATCACCGTGCAAGTGGGACCTTGCCCGGGGTGACCTTGGTTGCCCTGGCGGTCCGGCTGTTCACGGACCAGGGAAGGTCCCAGCCAAAAAAAAAGATCACCGAAAACAATCCGAATGTGGTCGGTCTGGGCTCCCAGTCGGGCTGCCTGGGTGACCTTGGTTGCGGGCTCCCCGTCGGGCCCCCCGGGTGACCTTGGTTGGCCTGGCGGTCCGGCTGTGCAAGGACCAGGGAAAGTCCCAGCCAAAAAAAAGATCACCCAAAACAATCCGAAAACAAAGACAAACCAAAACAATCCGGAAAAAAAGATAAACCAAAACAATCTGGTGACCTTAAAAAAAATAAAAAATAAAAATCTCAAAAAAAAAAATAAAATGGTGGCCTTGGTTGCCCTGGCGGTCCGGCTGTGCAAGGACCAGGGAACGTCCCAGCAGAGAAAAAAGGACCAACCAAAACAATCCGAAAAAAAAAAGATAAACGAAAACAATCCGAAAAAAAAGATCGAGCAAAACAATCTGAAAAACAACTATGTTATGCAGAGAAATAAACTGAACAACTTTCGCATCAGGGTCAAATAAAAAATAAAAGGGAGAATTTGCAAATTACCCTTGTAAGTTGAGATATATGCCACAATGCCCCTGGAGGATGTGGGTAGAGCGGAATGCCCTTTTGGGCCGAAAACTTTGTGTTGTGCCCCTGTCAGGTGGGTGTGCAACTTTGCAATCTGGACCTACCGGTTTGGGCCTTGGCCTTTTGCAATAGCCCCTTGGAGAAGTTGGCAAGTACTGGGGGCATTTTGCAAAGTTGGATGGTACCCAGTAGGGGTATACTGCAAAGATGGGGGTCCAACCGACGCCAGGGGTATTTCACAAAGATTCCGTTCTACCCACATCTTTTAGGGGCATTTTGGCATATATCTCAACTTATGGGGGTAATGATCCCAATATGTATATATCGTCATATATATATTGCCCGGCCAGGCACGTTGTCCCGACCCACTCTGGTAGCTTGGTTATTAATGCTTGCTTTGTTGTTTCTTTTCAAAATTTTATGCTTAATGCGGAGTTACTGTGTTTTTCGTAGTTGGGTTTTTGCACTTGATTTACGTTCATTTACTCTCAGCGAGCTCTGTTAGCGGCAGATCTGCATTCCTGTGGTGAGTCGTCACGTCTTGACGTTATTATTTTGTGTTGTCAGTATGGTTCACTACCTTCTGTAATGGCGAAGGCACAATATGAGTCTGTTGTTGTTGTTGGGCGTTTTTTTTTTTTTTTTTTTTTTTTTTTGCATGAGGGCTGTTCTCTTGCGAGGAATTGGTTTTATAAGAAAAAAAAAAGAACCAAAAAAAAAGGAACTGTATGGCCGGGAGTTGGATGTTTATCGTTTTCATATTTTTTGGTTAGTGTTTTGTTCATTGTGTATGTTTGTCATAATCGTTGTTATTTTGTTCATCGTGTATGTTTGTCATAATCGTTGTTATGTTTTTTATTTTCAGTTATAAAAAATGTGGTGTCTGTGAAGCGTTTATACTTTTGCATGTTTAGTGCGTATGTTGTTTGTTTATTCATTTGATTTGATCGACAAATCCAGATGATCTGAGAAGTGGCACGTGTTTTTTTTGACTTTTTTGCAGTTTTTTTCTTTAATTTTTTGAAGACGTGCTTGTGTTTTATTTATTTGTTTCTTTTCCTGCTTTTGATTCTTCATATTTTCTTCTCTCATTTACATGGCATGTCTACCTGTTTCGGTTACATAAGTGTGTGTGTGTGTGTGTGTGTTTGAGATCCTCTTTTTCTTTCTTTGATTCTTTGGGCTTTTTTTTTTTTTTTTTTGAAGGTGTAGACGAGTGAATCGGTTTTGCATTTCATGATAGCAATGGTTATTGGTTAGTGCTTGATTTCTATGTGTGTTCCGTGTGTTCGGTTATTGGTTCGTACCAGTCGGTTAAAGGTTCTTCCGCTTTATTACTTCGTTTTTGTTTACTGTCCGTAAGCTGTGTCGGCGACTGTGAGATTGAG